AATTTCAAGAAGTTAAAATTGTAATTTTATCGACCGCATTATTTTTATTAATATTTTTTAATTTTGAGAATTTTGCAATAAATTCAAATGCTTTTTATTCTTTTTTAAATATTTTAACAATAAATAATAATTTGAAAATAATTGTGAATTTTTACTTTATAACAATAAATAATAATTTGAAAATAATTTGTGAATTTTTACTTTAATTTTACATTTAAACCGTAATTAAACAGCTAACAAAATATTGAAAAAAACAAGTTTACTTTGCCTTGTAAAAATATGTAAAAAAAATAACTTTTCAAATGAACGATAGCTTCATTTATTTATTTAATAATACTAAAATAATTCCGAAATTGAAATTTTAATTAATATTTCATTTAACAATAATTTTTGTGACATGTTTGTAAATTAAAAAAATTTAAGTATACAAATTTTTTTCGGGGGTTCGGGGCTATTCAACGAATTCGTAAATATGCCCATTGTTATTTTTTCGTCGAGTTACCACAGCTTAAAAAAAATAAGTTTCTACGATGAATAGAAGCCGAGATATTGCAGAATTTACAGCGCACATCAATTTGAATTTTTGAAAATTTTCCTTATTCTATATTCAAACGCCATTATCTCGAAAACGGTTAAAGTTAGGTATAGGTTATGTTACATAAAAAATTATCAGAATTCCATGGAGAATTGAATAAAAATATAAAAAAGGGGGTTTCCATTTAAAAAAGTTGGCCTTGATTTCATAACTTTTTTTTGGGCCACCATGTATAAATGAAAATTGCTTCAGAAAATGCTCAACTAAAAATATAATTCGACGAGCCCGAGCGATTTTTCAAATAACGAACATCTAATTTTTAAATAAATATATTGCATAATTTTGCCACTGTAATATTAATTATATTTTTTTTATAAAACTAAATCTCAAAACGAACAAAATTAAAAAAAAAGTTAATGATATCTTCAGTTTTTGCCAAGTTACAAGTATCTAAAAATGTTTTTCCCAAAATATGTAAATGCTCATAACTTCTTGTGGGGTACTCTACTACCCTAAATGAGTACTAAATAATACCAAAATATCAGGAAAATTAAAAATGGTCGGGTCATGACCTCAGTGATTTGATATGGAAAGCCCCATACATAGTGACTCGGAATAAGAAAACAGCGGCATAATATCCACCGAAAATAAGAACGAAACAATATTTTAATCCTTTGCCAAAGATCAAGTTTTATCCCAATTCTACACGTTGGGAGGTTGTTCCGCGAACATCGGAATGGTTTGTATAAAAATGTAACCCATCATTGTTCCTCTTAACGGTTGTATGTAGATGATGGGAATTTCGAACAGGTACGTTGAAGGCTACAGGGAACTGAAAGCATTTATGTAAAAATATCCCACGGTCTACCCTGTCTAGAGTAACGGACACAATACCTGTTGAAGGGGGGCACTAGCAATAGGGGAAAGTTGTGCCTCTTGCGCTGTGTGGGACATTTTTATTGGGGCCGCTTCGCAATCGTCTACTGTTCTTACCTCGGTTCTTACTTTAATTAAAAATGTTGCGTAATAAGTATATTTAAACGAAAGCAGTAGATACTACGGGCATGTACAAATCATGTACTCATGTACTCATGTAATCATGTACAAATTTTGCGTACGATTAATGAAAGTCGTACTAATAGAAATCAATTCTTATCTTAGGAGCATATCAACACTAATGCTGCGGGAAAATATGATTACATCATTTCACAACACTGATTTATAGTGGGTGTACCTAAATTGCTCGGGCAAACTTTAATGATGGATTCTATATCCCGAATTAAAAAAAAAATCTTTAAAAAAACGCTCACTTCTCGATATACAGGATCCTCAAAATTGATGCAAACATATGGTTTATTACAAATTGCAAAGAAACAGCTGATGGGAGCCATATCAGTAACACTTTATTTTATTC